CACTTTTGTGAGTCGCTTTCATTTCAAATTACGTCCAAATTTGGCCATAGCGCGCATACGAGCCAAAAGTGACGTTATTTTTAAGAGAACGAGTTGATATCATGGTGGCTGAGGACCAATCACGTTTTCTATGAATGCGTCGTTACGTTAGATGTCGTTACGTTAGGTGTCGTGCGTTTTAGTTCATCGTTTTTACAGTCCATTGCGGCCAGCCCGTCACCACCACAACCCATCCTCCTAAAGTTAAATTACTTATATTTAACGCTGTGGTCGATAGTACATATATGTCGTAATGGACTAATAGAACGTACTTTGTATAATTGAGTTTTGATAAACCGGAAAATGTTTTATACACATGTTGCTAATAAAATCTAACCTAACCATCCTAGCTAGCCTAATACAGCTATCTGAGACCTTAAGTAGTACATATCTGTGCTATACTAGGTCTAGGGATATTTAAACTTGACACACACACAGATCACACTAACGTGATGCATCAAATGAACAAATCCACAAGGGCCATGACGAGGATTCGAACCTGCGTCCGGGAGCATCCCAGACACGGCCCTTGTGGATTTGTTCATTTATATTTAAACTTGTTTTTTTAGGTTTATTTTTGTCAGGATTATAAATAAACACACATTGTTCAAGCATACCATTACTACATGTTTACTTGTGTAAAGGAGGAAATGTATATGTTTATCTCTCAGAATGTTTGGTAATACGTTTATTATTTGTGATGTGTGTCTATGTATGTATTAACACGATGTACTGAACGGGGTGAGAATAGCTTGAGCTACCTTATCGCTTTGTGTGTATTTTACCTCAATAAACTTATTTCAATTTCAATTACTACATGTTGGTACGATCAAAACAGGAGGATGGGTTGTGCAAATCAAGCAAGTGCAAACGCTTGTTAATCGAGTGACCCCAGACGCACACTTTTCAAGATGTTACACGACCCAACGACCTCATTCACTCCGATTGATTGATTGATTGATTGATGAAGATTAAGCCACCCAAAAGGTGGCACGGGCATGAATAGCCCGTAAGTAGTGACCCTTTTGAGCCATTACCAGTATCAATAGATGATACTGGAAATTTGTGGAGGTGCGACTGCACCCCTGCGTGAATTCACTCCAACCATCTACACCACCTATATGGGGCTACTCATGCCCGTGTCTCCTCTTGTGGTGGTTTTATCTTCAACAGCAACAGCTTGTTAATCCCTCCGCCGATCCCCCTGTTTACGAGTGGGAAAACGGTTTACACACGACTCGACTAATGACGCAACCCGTCCTCAGACCAAGTCCATTCCATCCAGCGGTCGACCCCAAAAACGCATTCATCAGTTTTAATATGCAGTTTATTCAACATATTAATTTTCTCAAATATAAATTAATATTTTATAGTAGCATAGTGTGCATATTTAAGCACTGGTTAGGTTAGGTGTTTTAGGTTCTTTTGGTGATTATTTGTATTTGTGGTACGTGGGTGAAGCATTTACAGCGTTGTGGTTCGAACAAAATTCGTTAGTGAAGCACTTGACGATCGAACACTTTCGGAACAACAGTTATGAGTCGTGTGTAAACCATTTTTCTTTCATAAACGGGGGTTTGGCGGATGCATTGAATCTTTTGGGTCTATCATTACACATGCAAATATATTATAATATTAATTTATATCTGAGAAAGTTCCTGCTTTGAATGAACAGCCAACCCATTCTCGCAGCATGTAAAAAATTTATAAATGCGTCTGTGGGGTCGATCGCTGGATGTAATGATCTTGAGTCGAGGACGGGTTGCACGCGCGCGCGCGCACACACACACGCGCACAAACACACACACGCACGCACACACACACACGCGCGCGCGCGCACACACACGCACACACGCGCGCACGCACACACACACACGCGCACACACGCGCACGCGCACACACACGCGCGCACGCACACACGCGCGCACGCACGCACACACGCGCGCACGCACGCACACACACACACACGCGCGCGCACACACACGCGCGCGCGCGCACGCACACACGCGCGCACGCACACACACACACGCGCACGCGCGCACACACGCGCGCACGCACGCACGCACGCACGCGCACACACACACACACACACACACACACACACACACACACACACACACACACACACACACACACACACACACACCTCACGTCGCTGGAAGACAAGAGAGTTAGGGGGGGGGGCATGATCACCACATACAAAATTCTCAAAAGAATTGATAGAGTAGATAAGGACATGCTATTTAATCCAAGGAACACACGCGCTAGGGGACACAGGTGGAAACTGAGTGCCCAAATGAGCCACAGAGATATTAGAAAGAACTTTTTTAGTGTCAGAGTGGTTGACAAATTAAATGTATTAGGAAGTGATGTGGTGGAGGCTGACTCCATACACAGTTTCAAGTGTAGATTTGATAGAGCCCAGTAGGCTCAGGAACCTGTACACCAGTTGATTGACAGTTGAGAGGAGGGACAAAAGAGCCAGAGCTCAACCCCCGCAAGCACAAATAGGCGAGTACACACAATCGCCATCTGAATTTAAACACCAATCTTAACCAATGCATAACTATACAGTGAACTCTAATATACAATAATATAAATATATAAATGAAAACAAACCTATTTTTAATATACAATACTTGAAAATTGATCAATGCTTCTTGGTGGACGGCCGCAGCTTTAACGAACCTGGCCTTATGACAGGCTTTTTTTTTTTTTTGGCAAAGCTGAGAGCGGACTGTCCTGTGAACCGACAGAGAGATAAACAGAGTCTAATGAGAGAACAACACTGTTCCTTGTGCAGAAAGTATACACTGAGGTTCATTTTAGAATTGAAGTGCAAAAACTG